ATATATATATATATATATATATTTATAATATTTGCACACATACATTAGCAACGCTCTTTTTTAAATATGCACAAAGTATTACAAAATTATTGTATAATGTGACGATATACTATATTAAAAAATTTATTTGTTATATACAAAACCAAATATACACGTCTGTATACTCAATTGCGATTGTCATGCTGGATGCTAATTCGGATGAGCAAATCATCTTGCAAAAGGGCAAAGCCGGTGCAATTATCTTTATGAAAATGAAAATAAAAAAAAATCGAAGGCAAGGAGAAGAAAAAAATAAAAGTTAGGCTTGACTAAGTCATGTGAGTGTGATTTGGGTTGCTTCCTACCTTGCCACCCTACAAATTCTCCAGCTTCGCCTGAGGAACACAAGAGCACACATTAGTACGGCAGGTAGGTAAGGTCAGGTTCATGGTAGTAAAGCCTAGTTATTTTGCAGTGGTATAGCAGATAAAATTATTTTTGAATTTAATTACGCAACTTATTGAAAAATTATTTAAAAGTTATTCTTGAACATATACTGAAATAATCATGTTGACAGATGTGTGTTTTATTAAATCATATAAATTGAGAGCCAAGCCATTTTATCTATTACATAAAAATTCATAATATTTTTATATTCATTAATTCATTATAATTTAAAAATAGGATATAAACTGTGTTTTTTCGAATCAAATTATGAGATGACAGAATATTCTGAAAAATATGTATGACATATGTAACTACATGAATTACTTATATAAAAAAATAAAAAAAAATTATATAAAAGCATATCAAATAAAATAAAAAGACCTATTGAAATACATTTACATACTAAAATACACAAGACTGAATATCTAGCAGTAACAATCGAACGCAAACTACACCACTGCTTGTAACTAGACAATTCAAAAACCAATCCACTCCACATCACAGCAATCCAATCCAATTTAAAATATTACTTATTCGTTTATTGCTGTGTGGTTTTTGGTACGCATGCGTCTATGCCATTCTTCTCTCGCAACTCTCGTCAATGCCAGAAAAAAGTAATGAAACACTGGCATAAAAATGATCTCTTACCTTGCCTGGTAGGATCCATACTATTTGGCATCATTGGTTGTCCTGGTGGCTGTAAAAAAAATACCAAATTTATAACTCTATTATAATATTTGTAATAAAAGTATTATTTATAATACCTATAATATATATAATACCTATAATGTATATAATACCTATAATACCTATAATATATAAATTTAAATATATTTAAGAATTATGAATAGATGTAAAATAGACATTGACCAACAATAGGCACTATATATGTAAATATTATTTATTTTATTTATTTATTTATTTAAATCATAATATATGAATTAAATTCTCGTACTTACTCCATTAAAATCATTTCCCATTTGTGGCATACGTACTCCAGGTCGTGGTCCTGCTGGATATCTAGGGCCCATAAACTGTAACAGAAAATAAACATTCATTAAATTGATCATATAACAAAATATATTGAGTTCATAATTGGAAGGTGTAAATTAAGTATCCATAAAGTGTCAATCATGATTACTATACACAGAATTGACTAGATATAGTATAAATATCAGGCAGCCACAATAAGCAATCCGTGAGATGATAGGCCATAAAATATGCATTCGAGTTCATCGCAGCACATTAGTTGGTTATCATTACACAACGTTTCTAAGCCCAAATTGTAGATGAGATTCATTTATAATATAATATGAACATAATATTCTAAACTGTCGTAGAACTCTTTTAATAAACCTATTTCTGTATAAAGACAAAACCACGAAGGACATTATGAAGGAAACAATTATAGCGATTGTGGCGACAATTATGAATTTCGGTTATACCATGATATGGTGCGATGACACAGCGGAATAAGTGATTCTTCATGAGTGAGAGTGTATGTGTTGAATGAGGCTTACCTGGGTGGACATCATCTGCGAGTGTGGGGGCGGGGGTGGCTGGGGGTGCTGGGGGGATGGCTGTGATGAGGGGTGTGTGGGCGGAGATGGTCGCATTGTCGAGTTGTTCTGCAACAAGCAACGCAAACGACAGACATGTAGCAACACTGCGATCCAGGCAACAGCTAGACTAGAAGGCTTTGGGGATGATTGTGTTAATACTATGATCTCAGCATCTTAAGTTATCTGACAGAAAGTTGTAATTAGGAAAAATTCTAATGACGTTCTAATGACGTTTCAGTGTCTGTCGTTGTGCACTCTCTTTTCATAATTACAACCTGTATATGAAACGATTTTAAACTGTGAAACAAGACATACAAGAGAGTATGAAAAGATGCCAATCAATTATAAAATGTACAGCGTTATAGAACGTAAAACAATTTCGTTGGAAAGAATATATGATGACTCCTAAGCATTACAGGATACCTATGTATGTAGAGAGATCTAGAAACAATTTATATCACTCACATATTGTGTAGCATTATTTTTTTCTAATCTAGTAGGGGACGACTACTTTGACAAGCAACAGATGCATAACTTTTCTTAATTTTTCTTTTTTTCGCATACATTTTATAGTATTTATAGTTTTTCATTTATAATAAATAGTTGTCACAAATATTATTATTAAGATATCAATAATATAAGATCGTATTTATACTATTATACAAATAAAGAATAAATCTCAAATACTGATATGAAAAGATAAAAAATTTATATCTTTTGCATGTAATTATAATCTTTAACAAATGTATAATTATATATGATTATATATTAAACCATAAATTTATAGAATTATATACATATATCACGTATTTTGAAAAATTATAAATCTTTTTAATTTTTATAAATAATTAATCATATAACAAATAATTATTATAATATCTAAGAAATCAACGTTTGTTAAATAATATCATGGACCATTTGTAAAAAAAACTAAACTACATTTCTAAGCAGGCTTCCATGTTAGTTGTCCCATACATTCTAAAGAATATAACTTTGGCTGGCTATGTAATCTAAGAAAACATTAAAATGTCAATTTATATTTTGCAAACAAATGTTTGTATAACACAAATGGAACAATAATGTCTCTACCTGCAATCTTTTTGTGTTACTGCGACATGACCAGCACAAAGTAATATACTCTTCATGATATGCTTACTGTACCAATATTGTGCTCTAAATATATTCTAACATCTATATAATCCTGTTCTTCATAGAGTTTCTAGATTTGTTTTATGCGCCAAGAAGATGAAACAGTGAAAATGGTACAAGAACGCACATACAAGTATTAGATAGAGAGCAGAGAGAAAGTAAGTACATATATACAGTATAGAGACAAGCATGACATAAGAACGTCTTTTGAATATACACTTGTTTCAAAACAAGTTAATCACGACTACGGCTAATGTGTGTATATTTATCGGTCAGGGATATATAAATATATTTAGTTAAATAATTATCATGTAAATGTATAACATATAATTCATTTTTCGAACTCAACCAAAAGAAAGAAAAACAAATTGTACAAAAATCGGTTTTGTCACTTATTTATCACATATGTAGCTTATTTAAAAATTATTTAAAATTATCTATATCAATAATTGTTTTCTAAACAATAACCTAAATTAAACATTGACAAGTCATCATTTCATTTACTTACTTAGATGTTTTCTATATATTTCTTCTTGATTTATTAATTAAATTAAAATTATATTTTCTTACTAGATTTGGTTACATTACAATCTTTATTTTTAAAATAGCTTAATTGTGTATTATGCTTTGAATCAAGTGTAAATTTTTAATAAAGGACTATGCATAACAATGATAACAGATACATGACTATGTGTGTATAATGCACACATACACACATATCTAGTGTATAAAAATATACTTTAGATTTATATTTGAAATCATTTAAAATTTTCAAAACATTAATATCTTTTTTTTTTCAAAATATTTAATGATTTTTGTGTAAAATCTATTTGAAACCATTTCAGAAAAAATGTTATCATTACAACACAAATAATAATTTGAATAGACTAAATTTTTTAAATTTAAATTAATTAAAATTATCAAAATATATTTTACAAATATTAAGTACAATCAAAATGTAATTATATGACGACCGATTTAATGAAATAATAGCTTTTTCATTTTATGTATTTCGTAAATAAAGATAAAAACAAATGAAATTAAGACATTTTTATGAAAACTTTTTATTGTTATGAAAACTCACTGGGAAGAAAGCAGGAGGCATAGGACCACCAGGCATTCCATCATTTGGTGGCATTTGACCAATTGGAGATGGGGCTGGCCCAGCATTCTGTAAATATTTTAATTTCTAATATTAATTTTCTTCTTTGTGGAGAAAAGATATTTAAATTTAAAAAAGTATATATATATTTATATATGGTTCTTTATAATTATCAATATAAACAAGCGTTAAAATGTAAAATTTAAATATATATGTTTAACGATATTAACACATTTGACATAAATTTTTCAACTTACATGTGCAATTCCATTGACGTTGTAAGCACTATTCACGAATCCCTGATAACAGAACATGTCATAAATAATATGCAAAGCAAGTGCAAACGCATTTATGTTTAATATTAAACAATTTAATATTAAACATTTGGTTCAATATCAAACAATTGATAATTTTATGCGACTACAAAAGAGTATCATAATCATTAATATAATTACATAGTCATGAAATGCTTTGGCCTCACTGCTATGTTCACAAGAGTCTCTTCTTTCGGGCGCTGCGCAGTATAGATCCCAAAAGACACTGTAAAAAAATGTTACGATTATTTTACATTGAAACATCCCCGACAATTTCTTTAATGTAATATAGTATACTTACCACCACCAAGAATGTAAAAACCCAGGTGGCTCTCCCAGCGTAATATTTTTCTCCCATCGAATCTAAACAAGCAGAGTAAATCATATAGTAAAACAATAGTTTGCAATAATACAGACGTAAAAGATTTACATAGATCAAAAAAATCATTCTACCTCTGACAGAAACGTTTGTGCTGCTTTTTGTGCTCCTACATGTAACAGGTATTCGTACACGTAAAGCGCCAATCTGAAAACATGATTAACCATCAGCCATTAATAAAATTAAGTAGATAATTTCAAGCAAAAACTAACTTTGAGACAGCAAGAGGCGAGAAACATAAAAAAAGCAGGCGAGTTACAAAACGAGGAGGGATCAATATCCATCATTCGTCTTTCTCTCCTTTTTTTTTAGAAAGCCCGTACTTAATTCGAAACCGTCTCGACAATAATACAGGTCCGTTCGTTAAACGTGAAGTTAACGCCGACTTTCCCTGCGCAAGGCAATAAACGCGCGGCTGGGTGCATCGTTGAGCGAGCCCGCGCACCGAGAGAAGAGCCGGGTGATACAAACATGGCGCGCGAATCGGAAACCGCCAATCCGCGAATCGGAGCGGAGCGCATACGCGGCTCCACGGTGACTGACAGCGCGCGCGGATCAATCGCCTCTCGCGAGAAAGCGGGTTACGCGCGAGCTAGACAAGCTTCCCTGGGTCGATTTCGTTTTTTTTTTCATCCTCGATTTCGTTTTTCCCATCCTCAATTTTCTGATTTCCGAACGTCCGGAGCAGCTAACTTTATCCCCGAGGGGCCGTCCAGAGGTCTGATTCTGGAAAAGTGTAGTACGAAAAATTAGAGAAATCTATAATATAAATAACGTATGTATTTTCGTATATTTTCGTACACGATATTTATCAAGAATTTTCAAGGCCCTGGGGTGCATTCCATTTCACGAATAATGCATCACGTATTATTTTATCCTTGTTTAATATTTGATGAACAACAAGAAGAAAATACATCATGAATTGAAAAAAATGATGTAAAATGAATAGCATTATTTTAATTGAAAACAATTTATTTATTCAGTAACACTCAAAAAACAAATAAAATTTTATCAAAACAAGAACATAACGTATTTATTTCATTAATAATATTATGTTGATTCAACAAAAATATTTTCAAATTAATAAAATATATTGAAATAACAACTGTTGATAACATTATTTTTTTTCAATGTGTGCATACGTGAAACGCTCCTGTACTCGATTTTGTAACTTAACGATAATTCGATATCATTACATCGTCATTACATCTGTCTTTTTTTATAAAAAAAAAAGTTCCAAAAATTCCTTCACTGTATAATACCTGCGAAACGATAATAAGAATAAATATTATATGTTAAGAATTAATAATTATTATATGTTAATATATGATAATAATAATTATTATATGTTACAAAATCGGAAAACATCCTTAAGACAATCATACTATGTTTTGAGATTAAAATTTAGTCAGATAATTTTAATTTCAATCCATTCCATTCCGATTGGTTGAATTCTAATCTCTAATTCCCAATTCTAAATCTTCAATACGGGATGCTAAGAGAAATAAAACATTTGTGCCGACTTGTGTTACTAATGCCCATTTCTTTACCAATGTAATTTAATTTTAATCTTCGTTCAACTGACTCTTCAGTTTTTTCTAGTTCTAAGAATTAGAGAAAAATTAAGATTTCTCTTAATTTAGTTGAACTGAGATTAAGTTAATCCACATTCGATGGAAATAGATCTAAATGAAAAGCGCCAAGACAAACATTTTACATGGGCTTTAAAAGACATGAGCTTTTAGGACATTCTCTGGATGTCTTCAGGACGTCCTACGGAAGTCTGTGCCATATGGGAAGTTTCTCGAGTTCGAGACCACAGACCGGTCGATCGATTGGATTACAATTCTCAATCCGCATCGCAATCAGAACTGCGATGGAAAGGGCTGAGGTATCGCGAGTTGCGAGTTAATTACAACTGTTACGGCAATCAGTCGCATCGGCGGTTTATGACCGGCTAATTCCCGTTAACAACTGCTCCCGACCTCATTCCGTAGCTAAAATGTTAAGTTTGTTCACTCAAGTTTCGCTTTCCTAGCGTATATTATACTCGCGATATTTAGAGAAGGAAGATGATAGAGGGAAACAAAAACGCGAGGAACGAAGCCCGAAGTTTAAAAACTCGAGTGCGGCAACTCGAGATATCGCCTAACGCCGTAGACAAAAAGATCGATACCTCGGCAACTTCGCGCGATTAGTCGAAATAATTTCAAATTGAAGAAGTGACATCGTTCGAGATCACTCGCCGGCTAATAATTATAATGTATAATAATATTGTAATGTAACTAATCTAATTAATTATAATCTAACTTTCTATCTCCTTCCATTAATATAGATTAACTTTAATATTCGATTCAACTTACTCTTCAACTTTTTCCAATTCTTAGAGAAGATGAATATAAGAAATTGAAGAAATTAAAATTAATCTACATTGATTAAAATGAGAATAATTCAATTTGATTTAATTTCCTACTGATTTTGATATTGCTCATATTTATCCATTGACGTTCGTTTCGCACCATTGAGATCCAGGGCTGCTCCAATTCATCCTCACAACGGTCATGAGCACAATTTTTCCTTGTTTTTAACTTTGAGTGCTTTTCATTTAGTAACACGAGCCGACACAAACATCATTTTATTTCTCTTGGACTCAATTTAACTTATGAATGAACTTAATCTGATAATGTAGAAATTGTATTTCCCTTAATTAATAAAAAAAACTGATGATTTTGTAACGAATAACTTTTGAGTTATCATTACAAAACCTTCAATTTAGTGATTGAGCATAGCTAGAAAAACACAATTTTTACATTATAATCGGGTTAAGTAAAGCTAAATATAAATCACAATTATTATAAATAATTAGAAAATAAAAAACAGGATTTCGATATCCTACGAATAACAAAGACTTATCAAATTGATCTGAGTCAAATGGAAAGTCTTTGATGAACAACAAGATGAAATGACTGCGTTCAACAGAAGAAACAGTTTTCCAACTTTTGTAAAATTCTTATGAATAATTGATACAGTTAGATTCAGTAACTATAATAAGGGCAATCATATTAACCCTTTGGATCTCATTCGCTTTACATTTCTCTTCTTCGAAAAACTAGGAGCATCGAGTAATTAATTATAACATTTATATATTATTTTTTTAAATACACAACCTTCCAGATACTTCCTAAAGATATTGAAGTATATGTAAAAATTACTTAGTAATTTTTATATATCTGTTAAAGTGATAATTAATTCAGGACACGAAAGACCGATCATATGTAGTAAAGGAAAATCATTGTGTGTACTGAAGATTAAAAAATTTTTTATAGAGCGCTGTTTTTTTTTTTGTTAAAGGCAGTCAATAATTCCATAAATGAACATGAATTGGATCAGCCCGTTTTTGAATTGGGCATTGAAATGATTCGCTCGAAGGCGAGATTCAGAGATTCGCGAATGTCCCAGCAAACAAACTGATATTATTTATCATTTTGCATCACTGGATTCAGAAATTTGTCAAGGAAGGGCCATTTTTTAGCTCGTTGCAAACGAAATTTTGTAAGGTCAAATATAAAAAAAATAAAATATTGAATTATTAAAATTATTGCATTGAAAAATTATCATTTAAATAAGTATTTCATAAAACATTTTATTTAAAAATAAATTAATACAAAGAGGAAGAATAATATAATAAAATCCATATTATTTATATATAGGAATTTCTTAAATTAAAAAATATTTTTGAAATATCAAAATTGTGATTAATTTTAAAAATATTAAAAAAAATATACAACATGCTATAAATATTTTTAAAAGAGGAGACATGACAATCATGATCCCCCCATTCGGAGACTCCGCCAGTGTCATTTTAATATAAAAAACGTGAATAGCCAACGATGAACAACGCCAGTCCATTTGCTGGGGAAATTGCTGGAATCCTCGGGAATTTTCACCTCGCGAGTTTTCTCTTCGCAATGGCGCGTGTCAGCGATCGAGCCTTTCGCACGTCAAGTCTCGAATCGATCTCGCGCTGGGGGGGGGGGAGAGGAGGGCGGATATGAGAGAGGAAAGGAAAAGCAAGCAAGGGAGCATCATCGCGTACATACGTTCGCGAAGAGAAACATACAAAAAAGGAAAGCGAGAGAAGAACAAACGAATGGCTCATCGGCCATCGGTAGGTAAACTGGATTAACCCGACGAACCGGGTTCTCCGGTCGCGATGTACGCGCGATGCACACGCTCCGAGCAAAAAGAACCGGCGAGACGGCGAAGGGGGTGATGGAGGGAGCGTGGAGGGGGAAGAGCCCGCGCGGATGGAGCGAGCGGGGTCTCCGGGTGCGCAGAGGGGAGGCGGGAGGGGTAGAAGAGGGGCGGGAGGCAAGAGGATGCCCTGGAAGAAAAATGGAGTTATACCGAGCGATCAATGGCCGGTCGGAATTTTCACAATCGAACGCCAATCATTTCTCTCTCTCTCTCTCTCTCTCTCTCTCTCAATTCTCGCTGAACGATACGATACGTACTTTTCCCTCGCCTGAGAGTCCGAGGGCACCGCCGACCCTTTTCCCTTCGCGTACATGGTCGCCGTGGTGGCCGGTCAATACTTCTAGCGTAAACACAAGTGCACCGCCGTTTCTTCGTATAACCGCGCTGGACGGCTGAGTGGAGTTAAAAAGTATACGGGAGATATCGGGGACTCTCTCGTCGAGTCTTGCGGGTGCGCTACGCTCGGTTCCCTGTGTTGTATACGTGTGCGGCGTCTGTCTCGCTTCACCCGAGAGCGAACGGCGAACGGTAATCGCTCGGCGTGCTTACGTCGTCGACGTGCGACGTCGTGTCAAATGAAACGCGACCCCGAGGAAAAGGTGCACGTACACAGAACATATACACAGATTACACACGCACGCACGCACGCACGCACGCACACACACACACACGCGCGCGCGCGCGCGCACACACACTCTTTTAATTTACGTCCGTCTCTTTCCCGCTCGCTGCAGCACAGAAAAGAGTCTTGCGGGAGGGGTGTTTCCGTCTCACTCTTTCTTTCTTTCTCTCTCTCTCTCTCTCTCTCTCTTTCTTTTTCTCCCTCTTCCTCACCACCTCCCCGTCTTGCTTTGCTTGCTTGCTTGCTTGCTTGCTTGCTTGCTTGCTCGCTTGCTTGCTCGCTCGCGTGCCGACAAGGTCTTCTCCGTCCCGCTTTCGTCGCGTCACGTCACGAACCCGTCGCGTCACAATTGGAGCGAGGTGCCTGCTGCTGCGCGATACTGGAGCGACACGGTGCAACGCATCACGACGTCGTCATCGTCGTCGTAATCGTCAGCGGTTGGTTCAGGTGCGTCGCTGGGGGCGCCTTGTTGTCGTCGCCAGCACTGTCGCTGTCGCCGCCGCTGTCCAAGTCTTCATCGTTTCTTCTACGACTTCCTTCTTGCAACTTCACAGTCTTTCGGTATCGTGCCTTCACGAATTCGCGTTACCGCTCGAACGCGACGCCGTTCTATTGTCTTGGATCGCGATCGTTGGCGACGTCGTCGTCAACTCACTTCACTCCGTATGCTCGCTCGCTAGCCACTGTGACTGTCGGTCACCTCGTACTCGGTACTAGTCGTTGCGTATCGAAGACGAACTCGCTCGTCGTCGTCGTCGTCGTCGTCGTCGTCGTCGTCGTCGTCGTCGTTGTCGTCGTCGTCGTCGTCGTTGTTGTTGTTGTCGCCGCCGGACGCGGCTCTCGTCCTTCAACAAATCTCGCTTTGTAGTGCGCGCTCTCAGCCCAAAAACGTCTCGCAACACGGGAACGGTGTATCACTGCGGCCACACGATGTACATAACGCATACGTGCCCCGTGCGCACGCGCAAATATATACGCACACGTAAACTTCCACTACACATACACGCATCAAGTATGCGCGCACGCACGCACCGCAAGTCCGCACAGCCCGCTAGAAGAGACACGACGGCGATGCGAGAGATGGAACGAAGCTAGGAAACGAGGGACGAAGCGAGGAGAGTGAAAGCGGATTGAACTTACTGTCGTGTAAACACGAGCAAGTTCGGAAATGTGACTCGTGGATTTCGCACACGCTGCACGACTACACGCAGATGAGTCAGCGGAGTCGTCCCTCGCCTTTCTCCCTCGCTTCGTACCTGTCTTCGTTACGCTCTGTCTCGCTCGCTCGCCGCTCCCTTCACACTGTTCCCTTCCTATCGCTCGATCTCTCGCAGTATCGATGCGCTGTCCTCGTCTCTCGCACCGGCCGGGAACGGTGCGCGCGCATCGCCGCTTGTTATGCCAGTGCCGTTACGAGTGGACTCGAAAAACGGAGGAGCGAATGAAGCCCTCTATGTCCCCGTGGTTGCGTGATTTTCTCTGATTTTGTCCGTTTCTATATCAATGTAGATTAATTTTAATCTCAGTTCAATTTATTCTTTTTTTTTTTTTAATTCGAAGAATTGGAGAAAGATAAAGAATTAGTAGAACCGGATTAAAATTAAACTACATTGGTAGAAACGAACATGTATCATCGATACGAACAAGTGGCTGCGTTTAGCAGAAAAAGCAGTTTTGTAACTGTCATAAGATTCTTTATGACTCTTGTTTGTAGTTCCTCATTGGAGATTAAATGTATTTATTGTATTTTATCCTCTAAAAATTTTGAAGTGAATCTCACTCTTTTTCAAAACTCAATTTTCATTCTTTAGAGATTCTACTTCGAAGAATTTAAATATTAAATATAATATTAAAGAATTTTATCACAGATGCAAAGCATAACTTTTGCATAATATAATCATTCTTTTTAATTATATTTTTCTAATCTAAAAGGAAATCAAACTGCGGTACTTTCATTTTAATTTTAATGCAATAAAATCTTACTTTTTTTAGATACATATATTATCTTGCAAAACTGCTTTTTCTGCTGAACGCAGCAGAAAAATGTTCCACATATGGGTCATAATTTGAAAAAATTGTTTATTCAAGATTGCTTTAACAACCGTTTTTTTCCTTTATGCATAATTTTCTCAACGTAATCATGCTTGTTGCTATTGCATTTTCGCGAAAATATTCATCGAAAATCATATACGCAGAGAATATAACTGATTTCATTTTGAGTTTATATTAACTTCCATTTAGATTTGTGTTATTAGATTTTAAATCCAACGGAAAGACGAACCATTACGTTTTGCTACGGTTGAAAAATTCAATTGACAAGACTTTATTTTGTCTTCAAGGATACATTTTGTCTGAAGATATTCTGACGCTGCCTGTTTTTATATTGTCCTGCAGAGAAAGTTTTCTAACAAGTAGTTTCATTTCTATGAAAGTCGACATAGGAAGAATTAAGAATTCTGATACCTGAACTAAAAAGGTTCAGTTGGGCTTGTATTGGATTTGAATTTTCGAAAATATTATGCTGCAAAAAATTATATACATCAAATTCGCTTAAAATCGTTACAAATAGATTAATATATCAGCAACTTATCAAACTTAAAAATTAATAATCACTCTTTCTGGCATTAGATAGATTTCTTATTCGTTTGCTTGTGATATATACATGTATTGTTAGCTCATTTGACAGTTTATTATTTTATTTTTTGCGCGAAGGAACATAATTACAATATTTTTACAATGATTTTAACAAATTAGTAAATTATAATATTTTATCTCCTGCCGGCCTTGCGTTGTTAGTCTCGGCCATGTTATTGACAACGGTAATACATATCGGCGTGCGAAGTAAATAAAGCGTATTATCTCGTCGAATGGAGGAGACTGGAGAACCGTCGAGCGGATTGGCGGAGCGCGCGTTTTCCGCACGCCGGGATACTTCCTATGTAAGCGGATTCTTTGCGAATCATCATCGTCGTCGTCGTCAATGAAGCGCCAACAAGCGACATATCATTGCTTTGTCGCAACTTGTATGGAATCGTTGTTAAAAAAAAAACGCGCTATGCGATATTGGGATAGGTCGATACTTCGAATTTGCGATAAAGGGCGCAGGCGTAAAACAAGCGAGAAATTCTATTCCCGCACGATGACACGCCGACAGCACGTTGTCGAATAAAGGACGAAGCTGTCCTAAAAAGGACTCGCGCGACAGAATGGTGGGCAGGAGAGGGTGGAAAAAGGGCACACAACTCTCGCTCTCGCGCCCGCTCGTGGTACACCACTGGCTGCATCTCCGCGTCCGATTGGTCGCTGGCCAATGCACGACACACACACACACACGCACACATACGAACACACATACTAGAGTCGTAATACGCTTGTGTGCACACCACTAGCAAGTACTATCGGCGTGCGTATGTCGACAATCCCTGGAGCGGTGTAGGAGGACGCGGGGAGGGTTGAGCGATCGGGACACTGGGAAGAGAAGCGCGATGTGAGGATCCGATTATGCCCGAACGTCGGCGGACGTGTCCGACGCGAAATAGTCGACAATTGACGCGATAGAGAGTTTGGCGAGAAGGTAGCGGCATATCGAGCAGGGAAGGGGAGAAGAGGCACGCTGTTCTCTCGGGTGAACCGCTTCCCCCTTTTTCAATTTTATCATACGATCGACGTTACGACTCGTACGTTGCTATGCAAAATTAGACAAAATCTTCTATAATTCTGTCATGGCTTT